GACAGATACATATGGGATTCTCCTTTGAAAACAGGTGGTTTTATTTGGGTGGACACAAATGACCAGCAGCAAAAATGGTATTGAAGATAAATGGAAATGAAGCTGAACTTTTAGCATAGTGTTCATGCTGGTGGTGCACGAGTAGAAAGAAGAAAGGATAAGAGGTCTTATATGAATAAGAGGAGCAGAACTTTATGGGTCCAGAAAACAGGACGCCTAGAGGAGATCTGAAAAGAAGCAGACAGTGAGGTTCCCTCTGCCTGTGGAAAGGAATGAGACTTGGAAGACAGCAGAGGAGAGATCTGGTTGAATAAAGTCCTGCTCTATCCTAATCTGCCCCTCTTTAAAGAGACTGTCATTTCCTCACCTCTCATAGCGGTTTGTGGAACCAAGTAATTTTTTGGTAGTTTTATCATCCTAAAGAAAGAACAAGAGGCTGATGATGTCCCACAAGGAAAAAGCTTTTTTTCTTCTACTACTAGAATTCACTACACCTGTTCAGGTTTTTGTGGTTCACACAGGGAACTGGCATGAATTAACTTAGAAAGCTTTCCCATCCCTATCTGCAGGCACTGACTGAAGCATCAAAATTTCTATCTAGATATTATATACTGCAGAAACTATCTAAAGAATAGGTTCTGATAAAGATCAAAGTTGCTTGACTTATTATCCTAGAGCCTAGAGTCATGTTTTTCTCCCCTTGACAAGAAGAGACCGCTCAGAAGTGCCATCCTGCAAGCAAAGTCCCATTAAATGCAAGTGAAAGTAATGTCTGCCATGAAGTGATTCTTAACAAGAATTTACATTCCTTACCTTGCAGTTTTTCCACCAGTATTTTCGCTTCAGTTTGGCTGCACTGGTTTCAAACTGTGAGGCACCTGCTTGCAATGCATCTGCCCGGTTGTCAAGCTCCGATAGCTTCTGGTCTCTTTCTAGCACCTTGTCCACGTTCATTCTCATGATGTCTACCACCTGCAAAGGCACAGCCTCATGTCAGATTCCACACACAGTAAAGCTCAAGGTCACCCCTATGCTTACGCTCTAGAATACCACATATCATACTGAAACCAGCCATTTGCCCTTATGGTATGTGATGGCAACTACGTGCACAGTGCCTCAAAACCATGGCTGTGAAAAAAGACCCAGTGAGAACAAGATCGACATAGCTATACTGTGCTCAGACACCCTTAAAGATAGAAAAATAAAGGGACATTATGAAATACTGTAATTAATTTCATCAAAGCTTTTGATTTCTTTTAGACTACAACTAGCTACTTCCCTATAGATACAAAAAACTGATGGAGACCAGTACCTCTATACTGCAAGTTGGTTGAAATTTGTCAGTCATATCTAAACTCAAGCCATTATTTACCATACACATTTAATATAACTGCCTTATCTTAACTAGAGAAATTGGCTAAAGGCCACTCTAAAGGGGAATATATGCATTTCCTGACCAAAGAATTTACTCATTCTGCAGATCTTTCTCAGACAAGATGACTTCCCAGCCACAATCTGAAGTCCTGGTAGAGGAGGAGAAAATATTACCTGCGAAAATTCAGCCTGAAGTGTAACAGGGAGCTCATGCCACCTCATTGCACAGCCTCAGAGAAAAAAGTGTGCACAGCTGGTACACAGTAGGTAAGGCACATTCGTGCATATATTTTATACATTGAGTTAGAGGAATATCCTCTTCTAGCAAGCCAATTAACTCTAAATAGAAATCCTGTACAAATTCACTACAAATGTAAATGTTAGACAGCATACTAATCTCAGTAAAGCTGGCTCCACTTACTCTAGCAGTGAATATGGTTGCTCATCTGTTACTTTTCATACTCTGTAAAAAGGAAGTCCATGTTATTTGTATCTAATATAACTTAACTATTACCTGCAAAATCACAGAGTTATTAAAAAAAAAAAAAAGATTAAAAAACAAGGAGATGTGAAAGCCACAACATCGGAAGGATATAGACTGGTTGGAGCGAGTCCAGAGGAGGCCATGAAGATGCTCAGAGGGCTGGAGCACCTCTGCTATGATGAAAGGCTGAGAGAGTTGGGTTTGTTCGGCCTGGAGAAGAGAAGGCTCCGGGGAGACCTTATAGCCCCTTCCAGTACCTGAAGGGGCTACAAGGATGCTGGGGGGGGCTTTTTACAAGGGCCTGTAGTGACAGGACAAGGGGTAACGGGTTTAAATTGAAAGGGGGGAGGTTTAGATTAGATATCAGGAAGAAGTTCTTCCTGGAGAGGGTGGGGAGGCACTGGAACAGGTTGCCCAGAGAAGCTGTGGATGCCCCATCCCTGGAAGAGTTCAAGGCCAGGCTGGATGAGGCTTTGAGCAACCTGGTCTAGTGGAAGGGGTCCCTGCCCATGGCAGGGGGGTTGGAACTAGATGGTCTTTGAGGTCCCTTCCAACCCAAACCAGTCTATCATTCTATGAGATTAAACTGGTAGTGAAAGAATCTTTGAAAAGACTGGCATAGAGTTAAAATGATGTTCCAAAGCTCAAAAATATGTTTTGCTTGTCTACCAAGCCTAAAACAAAATCAAATGTTTTGGTCAACGCCAATTTTCTTATTTGCTTTTCCAAACCAAAACTTTCCAAGCACTTTACTCTGTATCAAATAAAAAGCCCTTCTGTTTTCACATCTCAGCTAGTATTTAGCTGAATTTTTTCTTGGTACAATGTTTCATAGTGAAAATGTTCAACTATTTGAAAATGCTGAAAAAAAATACTGCAACATTTCCTACCCATTCTCTCATTTGTTTTCCTCAGAACTATTAACTAGAATTTAACCTGACTGCAGTGAACACTTGTCCAGATGAGACCACATTTTTGTTAAATAAATAAATGTTTGCCTAGACTAAAACCAGGACCTGGGCCTTAGAAAATATGCTCTAGGATGCCTTGAGAAATCAGAGGGGAACATCCAACATGGATGTAGCTGAAATACTATATCAACACTGATACAGCATTAAAAATGTCAGTCATTTTAATAACACCAAAAATTCTCCCGTGATCGTGTTGCTTAGTTTTGGGTTTGGGTCCAAAGTGCTGTGCAGAACAGCCCTTCGAGTAGAATAGCCAAAGGAGTGTAGTGCTGTGCTGTGGTGTTTGGTGCCACCTACAGATTTCTTTCCCACCAGACATGAAAGAAAACAGGAAAAAACGAGGAGGAAGGCCAAAGCAATGCTTAACTGATCAGATCCTTAGTGACTTCACAGTACTGAAAGCCCAGTGGCGTTTTTCCCCCTTGGATATTCTTATACTGTGATTTTCCTATTAAAAAAGGATCTGCTGACCACGTGTTATCCACTTAAAACCCATCCCAGCCTTGCCTCCCCTCCCAAATGGGAGGCATGAAAACCATGGACCCTGATTTTCACCCGCATAATCCTCAAATCCAGGAGCTACTCACTGTCCCCTCATACTGGGTAAGAGTTTCTGCCAAAATTGTGCCATCATGCTTGAAGAGAAGAGGAACTTGCATGGGCTTGAGTGAAAAATGTCAGAATACAGAGTATCTTAAACACAAACTGGGAGTTCCCTAGCCTCACTGGAGCCATCCATCTTCATTGATCTGCCTAAAAAGCCCTAGGTATCTGACCTGCATCACTCATTTTAGGCAATAGCTAGCAATTATTTTTCATCTTCTCGGGACAATTACTTTTGCTGTAGCTCACATAAACAATTACAGCACCATCCTGATGTAATATGTTCAGGACAAGAAGTTTATTTCATTATTCTGACTCAAGATAAAAGCTGAAATGTAATATTCCTTTCCCCACTGTAATAGACACTCCCCTAATGTCAATGAAGTTACTGCGATATGAAAAATCAGTGATAATGAGAGAACCAGGCCTAGAAATTTCTGCAGATATTTCTGCAGCCGGAGGATGTTCTCATGATCGGCTCTGAACACAAGCAATGGGGAGGCCAGAAAGACCCTGTTTCAGATCAGCAAAGAAAACGTTCCGAAAAAGACAAAGCTCAGTTTGACTGGTGTATTTAATTCATCTTAAGAAATGCATTTGAGGAGGATGTTGTGAGGTCTTCTCTCTGTTTTCAAAGCGTACCTGGGGCTTTTGAAAATAGAAGCCTTTATACACATAAATAGCTATTGTCTAATGTGTATATTATTGAATTGGCATTAAAGAATCACACAAGCCCTGGCCACTTCCCCATGGACAGTAAGCAATTAGTTACTTAAATCTTTGTAGGGATTTAGCAAAACTACACCTAATACCCAGCACACAAATCCGCACAGCAGGTGTGCAAGGATGCTACAGCTGCTATTGTACTGCTGGTATGCTCAGGGACTACACCCAGGAGCGGTGCTATGCTCACTTAGTCCCATTATCACTTAGATGGACACTGGCATTACAGCTGAGGTGCCAGGGTAGTCTGTTTGCTACAAGAATTTAGGGATCCAAGCTGCAACAGGCATGTGGTCCTCCAACACCAACAAAAAGAGTGGGAATTTGTTGAAGATGCTGTTATGACATCATGTGTGGGTGCCTTTCTTTGGGGACAAATTGTGATGATTCAGTAGAGCTCTGGCTAATGAACACATCCCTCAGGTCTCCAATTCTTATGGCTTGAATCTATCTTTGAGCAGCCCATGGTCTGTCCCTGTGAAACAGCCTGTGAGATTACCATCTGTCCTTTAGGAACACAGGAACACGTTAAAAAGGGCTGGCTCCACTATGATTTTTCCTCCTAACCTGACTAACGGATGAATTCCTGAATTGGCACCAATGCTCACGTTTATTCTGCAGAAGTGTTAGTGGTACAAGGCTGTTCATACTCAGAATGTCTCCTGTACTGTCTGCCTCCTCATAAGTGCTATCCTTTGGTAAACCTCATTTCTAGATCCACTGCCTTCAAATAAGCAGGAGTTAGTGGATCACTAGGGAGAAAAACATCTTAAAAAAAAAGAAAAAAACCAAACACCAGCAGCCTTGTGGTAAACAATGAATCTCCTGGAGTCACTTACCTCATCCACCCGGGCTTGTGTCTGCTGCAGCCGTTTGTTGCTTGACACATTGGTAGCAGGAGGTGGCCCTGCAGAGCCAGCACTGGTGGGACCTTGGGTAGGAGCTGGAGCAGACCTAGATCAAAACCAGAGAACATAAAAAGTGGCTAAAACCAACTTGATTTGTTCACCACCCCTTTTCTGGAACAAGTCAAAAGTACCTATCTCTTAAACGGAGTTTTCCATTGTCTCACAGCCCACATTTTCCATTCCTGGATCACAACCCTAGTGTCCCTTTCCCTCCCATGCTGCCATTAGTTTTCACACTATTTCTTGATAGAACCACATCAAACTCTTCCCCTCCCATGCTTAAACAGCAAGCAATTCAGATTATCCACCCTAACCTAAGCCAATGGCCAAACCGATCACAGGCCTGACTAGCAGGGCAGAGCTTATGTTCCACTAAGGAAACAGACTCTGCTCTGGGTATTTTGGGTTGATGCTATAGGAGCCAGGGCTGCAACCTGTCTTCTGCTTCAGTGTGCTGACTGGCACATTCCCCTGCTCCTCCATGTTTGGCTGGAAGCTAACCAGGTAAACAAAAGGAGAGGAGAAAGAAATGGAGGAGGAAGTGGGGGTGAGAATTGCACACAGCATGGGGTTAGTCCTCTCAGGCATTCAGCAATGTTTAACCACCCCACCCATGGTCACCAAATGCCCCACCAGAGCAGCTGGCCAGGTTTGAACAACTGCTACTGACCCGGCTGAATATTTGCAGCAATGCTGTGATCAGAGCCCTGATCTCCTCTACCTCAGCTTTTTTTGCAAGTATCAACACCTGCTTTCCCCAGCTTCCTCTAAAACAAAAGTTCCTTAAAATCCAACAACAGATCCGGTCTGACTCAGGGCACAAGCTTGTGCAGACAAGTCACCCTGCCAGCCTGAACAGGGTCCCTCAACCTTAGCCAGTCCTACTTCACATGCACACTTTAACCTGTAAAACCTTCCCTTTCCCTTCAAGGGATGCCTGTCACTTCTTCCTGCAGAGAAACAAAACCTTTCCTGAAGCTGGAGAGGAAATCCCTATGCATGTGAACTGAAAAATATCACAGATCCCACTCACGCATTACCAATGCCTTCCCACAGTGACAGACTGCGAGAACACGGTGTTTCTCTGTGAATCATTCCCTTTTACATCCTGGGGTCTGATTAATGCTGCTGGAATTACGGCCCCATTAATACACTGTCAACAAGCCTAGGGACACTTGAAGTTAGTTCCCCAAAGGTACCTTAAGCTGCAAAATCCAGTTTGACAGTATCGCCTGCGGGCTGCGATCCCTACAGATGATGCCGACCCTCACAGCCTCCCAGTGCTGGAGCAGCTGTTTGCAGACCCGCAGCACTGCTGTATCTTACACTTTGGTTTTTTAACTGTGGGTGAGAACGTCACTATCAAGCTTTACTTGAAAGAGAAGAACTTGAGACATACACAAATTGCTCATCCTTTGAGGATCTCAAAGCCACTATTAAAAACATAAAAGTCCAGATGCTACTGCCACCTGCAATGGAATTACTCCATTGAAGGGCCATGGGCCAGGATCCCATCAGGAATTATTCTGAAATTACACTGTTGTCACAAAGCATCAAAATCTGACTATAATGTATATCAGACTCAAATAATCATAGAATCATAGAATGGTTGGGGTTGGAAGGGCCCTCAAAGATCATCTAGATCCAACCCCCTGCCATGGGCAGGGACACCTTCCACTAGACCAGGTTCCTCAAAGCCTCATCCAGCCTGGCCTTGAAGACATCCAGGGATGGGGCATCCACAGTTTCTCTGGGCAACCTGTTCCAGTGCTTCACCACCCTTTCCATGAAGAACTTCTTCCTGATATCCAATCTAAACCTCCCCACCTTCAATTTAAACCCGTTACCCCTTGTCCTGTCACTACAGGCCCTTGTAAAATAAGACAAAACTATCTCCTTGGCACATTAATGACTTGAAGGGGAGTTCCTGGTACAACAACAGAGCTAAAACTGAAATTGTTACATTTCTTTGCAGTCAAGGAAGTAAATAGGCTTTTTCCCAATCACTACAAGGAGAATTTTTTCTATGGAAACATTGTGTCACACTGTTCACTACTACAAACATTAACAGAACTCCCCTCTTGAGCTGTGTACTGTTAGCGTCCCAGAGACTGCAGAAGGGAAGTACATGAGGTGTTTTTCCTGGCCACCTGTTTTCTCTAGTACTCATAGCTTGTAAGTGCAGTGGTGTTCTTGGTCAAAGCTACATGGTAACTCAGAAGTTTGGTGTTCTGCAATGTATCTTTTCTGCCCAGTAATTTTCATCTTTTTTTGCACCTCCCAAGCTGTCCTTAAAATTATTTGGCATAAAGTAGACACCTCCCAGTTTGTCCCTTTCCAGCATCCTTGCTGCCATCTAATTTGCTTTCAACTGTATTTCCCTCCAGAGAGGGCTTCTCTGATCCCTGTGTAAGGGAGGCATGGATGGGTAGATGGCTGTTTTTACAGCTGCTCTGGACATTCAGCTGGAGTTACTGTAGCTACCAAAGAGATGGCAATTTTTATGCTAAGGTACAGCAAGCTTGTAATTAACAAACCCATCTTAATTAATTACATAAAATCTAATACAAGTGTAACCAGAGCTCGGTGCTGCCTGCAGTGCAGAGGTCTTTCCAACCTTTTGTCTCTGGAGTTGTGCTCTCCTTACACAGTAACAGCAGCTGCCTCACTCATGGCCTCACAGGTCAGAGCAATGAGCTGCTACAAGCAGAAGCAAGCTCACCAGAAGAGATGTAGCACCCACCAGAGTGGGGGAAAGCACAGGTGCCCAGACAGGCTCCAGGAGCCTGTCCTTAAGCACGTGCCTTTAATGCCACGAGCAGCTCTTGCCAGTCAACAAGGCATGAGCCCTCTCCCGTCATCAGTCAGCGCGTAATATCCAAAATGGACACACAGTCACCGGCATCACCTCTCCTCCTCCCAGTCTCCCAGGGCATTTCAGATCAGGACAGAGGATTGCCCATGGTTCTGGCTCAGTCCTACCAGTGTTTGAGCTCTGAGGAAAGCATTCTGGCTGGGCAGCAACAGAAGGCAGTAGCTCTATGAGCTAATGTGGCTTCAGTCCCACAAGGCATCCGTTAAGAGTTTGTCTTTGAAGCTAAATTTTCTAGCAAAGAAGGGAATTGAAAGCCTATACCACTGGAAAGAACCAATGTTCTCTGGGATATCTTAGTGTAAAAATGCTAGAATGAAAGTCCAACCTACATTTACATAATTCTTCTATAATTGCCTCTGTACTGTGTCATATCAGCTTATAATTTTTCAGAAGCCTTAAGTCAAAGAAATTTATGCAAAATATTAGCACTATGTTAAAGAGGCTTCCTTTTGAAATAAATGAATCATCACAACTTTGAAGTCCAATTTCTCATGGCCTGGCATGATTTTTGGGAGCCACAAAAGAATGCAAAATCCATATAAAAGCTCCATCGTTGGGTCCCTAGCCATCAGACTCGTGTACTTTCTTTTTTTAGGAGAAGAAAAAAAGTTACCATTGATGCTGACATCTTCACTCCCAAGAAAGAGTCAAATTAATTTTGAAGAGGCAACAAAGCTCTATTATTGTTGGTGAAAAAGTGTAAAAATCCCTAGCAAATATTCTTAAATGGCAACCACTCTGTGATGTCAGAGCACCAGAGTACACTCTGGGAGAACGACAAGTACACATACTTGAGGACAACTGTACTGTACGCTTAGAGCCCTGGCAGTTAGGTTGTTCTTTATGTAATAGTTATATCCTCACTCCCCACATGACAGATTTTGCTTCAGGTAGCACATAAGCAATCTGAGTGATTAAAAGCAGGTGCTGGATCTGTGTATGTATGCAGCCCTCTAGGAAGAAATCTTTGTCGTCTGTCCTAGTAATGCAGTAAAATGGTCTCAGCTGACTCAGGCATACTCAATTCTTCTGGTTACTTTCTGGGCCTAAAACTGGTAGATCAAAACCAACACTAAGAGATTTCTCATCTCACCTGGATATTTTGGAAGCAATTTACTACTTAGCTCTAATGGTTTAAAGGAGCTGCAACTCTAATTAAGAGAGAATGGCAGTTATTAAGTTAATGGTTGGACTTGATGATCTCAAAGGGCTTTTCCAATCTAAACAGTGACATGATTCTATGATTCTGTATCCAGAGTTACTGTTATCCATTTCAGCACTGGCTGAAAGAACATTAAGGATGACTGTGTAGCTAACATTTTGGGAAGCTGCTTGACACATAGGTCCGGTTTTGATCATATGTGTAGGCTATGTAGGAGAGGTTTTTTGAGTTAGGCTAAGGAAGGGAGATGCACAAGGTGAATACCAGAAGGATGCCAGGCCACCACTGTGACTTTGATACAGTTTACATATAGGACCTCAACAGCTGCTTTCAGCAACTTGTTTTATGCATCCAAAGTGCTTATAAAGCCTCCAGCTACAGGACCTAATCCCTTCAAAGTCTTTATCCTGACAACACTGCAATAAGCTGAAAGCTATTATCCCTGCATATGGCTGGGAAACAGGTACAGGAAGATTAAGCGACTTGCTCAGTGGCACAGGAAGCCTGTAGCAAAGCAGCCTAGGCCTCTTCATTGCCATCCTTCTGCTCTCCTCTTCTTCAGCTACTGACTCCAAATTAAAGCTCACAACCTATTTCTAACAGCAGGAGTTATTTTCTACCCCTCAGACATAAATAGTGAGAAACACACAGTTAAAGGTTACAGCACAAGCAAAGTGAAAATTACATCACACAGCTTTAGCTGGTATCAGCTGGCAAAGCTCAGAGTGGGAGACGGTGAAAGTGCATCAGTGCAGCAGACTCTTTGACTAATGACCCCTATAAAATGTGAAATGAAGGAGGCAATTTTCTATGGATCTCAATTTGATTCCTCTTCTCAAACCCTTTCCCTGTTGTTCAAATAAAACATAAATTCGCACTGCCTCTCCTCCTCTTCATTTTCTTACTGTCCAGGTACCATAATTACATAATAAATATTTACTGTTGTAACAACAAACCTTTATTTAATTGTAAAATAAATAACAACATTTTCATAGCTCTGTATTTTTGA